AGGGGGTTGCGGCTCCATGTGGCAGTACTGGGAGTGGTGAGGGTGCGGCTGCCCCTCGGGGGGCCCCGCGTGGTGCGCGGCGGGAGGGTGCTGGGGGTGCTGCTGATGTGGGGCTGCTGGAGGCTGCGGTGATGAGCCAGATGGTGGATGGCCTTGGGAAGGTGGCTTTCCCCTTTTACTACCAAATAAGGAACCTAGGAGTGAGGAGGAGTTAGGCATAGTCTGGTGAGGGCGAGATGGACACTCTCGGGTTGATGTAGCTCTCCGGCGCATGTGAGGGCTGCTAATGATGGACCCCTAAAAAGAAATTAATAGAAATCAAAATTAAAAAAAAAACCTCGGAATGTTCAAAAGAAAAAAGTTCACACTGACCCAACAATCTCCTCCTTTGGGGTTCACATGGGGTGGGCTATGATTAGAGCTCTAGGAAGGACGTTACGCCCACCTCCTCTGAGGTGGCCATGAGGCATTTGTGCCCTGCTCGGGGTATTTTAGCCATCAAGGGTTTTTCTCTCGGGACTTTACTAACAAAAGCTTTGACTTTAAATAAGAAAAATGTAAAGGAAGAGTCACATGACATCTAGGAGTGTGTTTTTAAAGGAAAAATACATTTTAAAAGACTGTAAAAAATACCATACTTGCTTTTTTACAACAACAAAAAAAATCTATATTAAATTCAATCCAAATAGTCAAACACACAGCAGCAAATATTACAGCTAAAATTCAGATTTCAAAACAGCATTTTAAACTTTTTTTAATAGTAGTTTTCCACTACTATCTGCCACGGTGCTGCTTCTCAAGCCTACCTCTTGATTATGTGTTCAAAGGGAACCACACCATTTTTGCCACTAGCATTTCTATGTGATTGTGTTCTTCTGACCTGTGGTCCAGAGTTTTCTGCTATTGAGCCTGAAATGGTGTATTTTAGTTTCTGGAAGCTTTGGGGTTGTATTTTTTAAAAAGGGTTATGGGACACAACAGTACTCAGGCACAGTGTGCTATAATTCAACTGCAATCTACCTAAAGCAAACAGAAAAGAAAGAAAAAAAAGATAAAAGAAAAAAAAAATAGGAAAAAAAATCTGCAAGCTGAATTCAGAGACATGAACAGTATATATAAATGGTTTGAAGATGAATGAAATCTCATGAAATCCACATTGAATTCACCTATCTTCAGAATTTCTTCCTCCCATGCCCTCTCTGTGCAATTCCATGGTGTCATGACTGCAGACATTTAGCAATTGGACTCGAGAAGAAGCAATGGGGATGGCTGAGCATGAGAGTCAAAAAAAAGAGTCGCAGCTGAATATCGAGCAGCAAGAACAGTGTGCTTTGTCACAAAGAGCAAGTGGGCTTTTAAGCTGGGACCAGACTGAGATGGTGGCAAAAGGACACGTCATATTCACTTCACCATGCTTGCAGGGACGAAGGGAGCGGGGTTAGCTCAAACCAGAAGGGGCACCGGTCTGAAAACAAGCTGTCAGTGCTTTGTAAGCTGCAAGAGCACGGAGTGAGTAGCCCAGGCATGCATTGTGTTTGCGGCAGGCAGGTTACGTGTTAGAAGAAGAAAAAAAAAACAAAAAAGAGCAAAAAAACAATATATGTATATAAAAGAAAGGTTTGAAATGCACATCATCACATCCAGCTAGACATCAGGAGCTTCCTACTTACTTCCATATTGCTGTCTAGCGATCCTGCACTGCTGCGGCGCCCACGCTTGCCTGCCCAGGACATGCAACACCAGAGATTAGAGACTGAGACAAGACCCGGGTGAACAACAGCTGCTCGTCCCCGACCACTAGAGGAGCCTCTAAATGCAACTAGAGGGGCTGCAGGGGGTCACACCACACTGGGCTGGTACAGCAGCTACTAAAGCAGGAACTTCAGATTTCTAAGGCCATTTTATATGAAGTTATGTCGAGTTTCTGTACCTGACTAATGTTTGAGAGGCATTGTTTCTGTGAACCAACTAGCGTTAACAGGGTGTGATCTTTTCTATTTGTACAACTCTTGGAATACATCTAATTTAGCAACTGTATTTAGTAGCGTGCTTATGATGTTGACCAGCAACAATTTTAAATGCTTTGATTTCCTGCAATCCAATCATCTATGAAGCCTCTTCTTCACAGGCTGATACCACTGATATATACTTGTGGGGTGGGATTCATTTAAATGCAGATTTTAATACTGGCATATTCTGAACTGCAGTGAGGGAGATTGGTGAGGGGCACCAGCTGCAGAATTTCATCTTCAGTTTTGAACCTTAGTGGATTTCATATAATCTCCTTTCATGAGGTTTAAAAAAAACTAAACTTAATTTTTGATCAAGAAATCCGGAATCTGTCTCGACATTATGGCTAGATTTTGTTTGTGTAGCTGTGCAGTGCTTTGTCTTCCAGTCTGACAGATTTGTTCTCCAACAGCCTCGAATTGCCAAAGACATTTAACTAAAACTACACATGAAACACCCAACTGTTTACCTAAAGAGGCAGAACACTTCAGTGGCTATATATAGGACACAGCATCCCAGATTTTCTTTCTCATTTCACAGCAGAGAAAATAGCATATGGCTGCAGTGGAAATAGATATTTTTGAAAAGATGGCTTGTTGAGCATTGCTTTGCAAAGTTCCAACCTACTTCCCTGGCAGGGTGCATAAACAAAGCTAACCTTTTGTAGAGGTTCTCACAGCTTCTCTGAAGTCTGCATGTTTCAGAAACCTACGTTCTCTCACTGCTTTCTCCCTGCTTTCCTGCAAGCTCACATAGCTGCACCCTGCACTGGAACACTGCTGCCTTCAGAGTCTTCTAACAGGTGGGTTAGGGGAGGGATGTGAAGACTTCACCCCTGAACCTACGAGCCACATCCCCTCGTCTCTTGCAGCCCAGAAGTCCCACAGCATCCCAGCTGGAGAGGAGAACTCGGTGACTGGTTTGCAAGGAGGAAACAACAGGGATTCCTGCCAGGTTCACCCTTCTTGGCATACCCTTTCCTGACCAATTCAGACTACCCATAAGGCTTACAAGATCAGTATGACCTACAAACACCACCTGTTAGGTCCATAAGCATAATTTGACCTGGCTGGTCTTCAGAGCTACAGTTCCCTTTAGGCTACTGCAGCATTTCCCCCTCTCTTACCACTGAGTTACTCCCCAGTACAAACCCCTCTGCATTGACATTAAATTGAGAGGAAGGCTTTTGTGGTCAAGGTGTCTGACTTGTTAACTTGCTGGAATTTTGAACAATTCCCCTAGACAGGCCCGTTGTCAAAAGCTTGGTGCTTCCTCTCCTGCTGCAGTTCCAGCCTCAGCAAAACCATAACTGTACTATCCTTAGTCCTGTTATCTGTGGCCCCTAAGAAAAACTGGTCTTGATAACCTCTTTTTTTTACTTCTAGTCAGGCTTTGATATTTCTCTGCTCTGCTAATGGGATTAGTCCTGATTAACACTCCAACCACTCTTGCTTGCTGACACAAAACCCCTGGGAATGACAGCCATCTCTTAACTCAGTGGTATTGTAAATAAGACTGACAGCTGCCACTAGTGGCCAAAAATGAAGGAGTGCAGGTAAATCTAATGCCTTTTGCATGTGGCAGGAGCCAGAGTCTCTGACAAAATCCCCATGATCACAGTACATACACTGGACATACAGACAGAATGAGACGTGGAGACTTTGCTTAGAATAACTTAAGGGCAAAGTAGTTCTAGAAAAGCCCAGAGCAAACAGAAAAATGCTACTTCCAGTGCCTCAGAGAGCCACTATCAAGAGCACCTTGGTTATTTTCTTAAAACCCAATTGAACCCACTTCTGTACTGGCTGACAGTGGGATACGAAGGCTGCTGTCCCCTGGGCCTTGAGGTGGCATCCCACCTGAGAATGTTCCCCTGGAGCTGCAGCCCTCAAATGCCTACCCAGGAAGTGGGGACTCTGAACTAGAACTGTGAGTTGGCCTAACTCTGTACTCACATAAAAACTGACAGCTGTGGCATGAAGCAAACTGGTATTTATCAAATCTGAAGGCCAGTTTTGCTTCGTGTACTACTGATCTACTTGAAAGTTAAGAATGTTACGTAGAGTGGGCTTTAATTTATTGTCATAAAACCAAATTTCAGTTAATTTGATCCTTTCTGATTCATTCCAACAGTTCATTGATGTTAGAAATGAATATCCTTTGTAAGAAACATATTTAGCTTACATAAGTATAGTATGCCCCACATATACATATACATATTATATGGAACGAAGGATATTTCAATTTAAATATAAATATAAAGTGATTAAAATATTTTTACAAACCTACACATTCCAAAAGTCAGAGTTTCACTAATAAAAATCCATTCTACCCTGCAGAAACTGATCTCACAGATGTGCAGATCATTACAGCAAATGTGCCTATTTCTTACTGCTCCTCTGTACTTCTTGAAACTCTGTCCTACGCCAGTGAGGTATGTTGATCTCTAAACAATGTATCATGATCTGGCTTTGAGTGTATCTGGAAAAAAAATGTTGGGAAAAAGTCCTAAATGAAAGGTTTGGTAAAGCAAATGAATGTAGCAGCTCTCACAGCAACGAGCTGTTACAGCTGCCCCCAAAGGCTGTGGAATTGGTATTCCCAGCAGCAGCAGAATCTGTCACCACTAGGCTACTGAGCTTACAGGTGCTACACAAACTGACTTGCTCAAAATTCTCTAAAACGATGCTCTAATCATTCATTTAGAGAAATCACCTTCCAGGGGTAAAAAGACTCTTGTAACCTTCACATTTTCAACTTGTTTTCTGGGTGAAACAGGTACAGTCTTACGATCACACACCAATCATGAAAATAGTTTCTTCTAAATCTCAGAAATACTGATGAAGCCCCAGGAGATGAGAAACAGCACAATCTCACCTGCACTGGAAAAGCAACCAGTGCCTTCCATAAGGCAGAAAAGTTGTTGACACAGAAGTGTTTATACACAGTGTGGGGCCTCCTTGTCCAACATACTTGTAAAATGGCTTAGTATTAAAATATGTGTATCACAACTGACTTGATTCATGTAAATCTCTTTAATTTTGAAATCCTCAGTACATTCCATCCTGCTCATTCCTGTTGCTCTTCCATTGAAGCACAGAAAATAGAACAACAGTGACAAGAGACAGGAGAAGTCTCTCCCTACTTGCAAAGCTCTTGTATTAAGGGAGACACAGACTGTACCTGCCCAGCACAGGCTGATCCCCCACATGAGGGGGCTCTGGAACTGCAGGAAGTCTGAGCCTTTTTAAGGGGGTTCCAATGCTGAGAAGTTCCACTGCCTTTTCCATTACACTCTGGGTTGCAGGAAATTTTAAAAAGTTTGTGACGAATTTGTTAAAAAAAAAGTTGTGTTTTTTTTTGAAGGTGGAAAGAACTATTTTTGAAGTTAAAGGTTGACCAGTGACATTAGGAAATTTTTAAAAGTTTGTGATTAATTTGTTAAAAAAAAAGCTTTTTTTTTAAGGTGGAAAGAAGTATTTTTGAAGTTAAAGGTTGACCAGTGACATTATATGCAATATACAAATGGAGTTACTTTAATTCTGGAGCTACTTTATGTTTTTGTGGGGTTTTGTTCTGTTTTGACTTTTTTTAAAAGTAGTTTCTACCAGTCTGTGTTTATTTTTTTTGAGGTAGCTCAGGAGATGATGAGACAAGCACAATTTATATTACCAGCAACCATGATAGCATCCTGCAGTTCTGTGCAGGTTCCAGTATCACCTGGGCCTGCCCCTTCTGTTTTACCAGGGAAAGCCATAAAATGACATTTTTTTTACACAATGTGTAAATATTATTACCACCTTACAGGTTAGGGATGGGGGCAAAATAAAGCTTGATTTCCATGGGTGCTCACCACTGTAAACTCAATGTGAAAGCCCTAGGCTCTTCAGAAGCTCCAAATCACTGGAATTCCAACTGACTAGCCTGAAACCAGCTAAGAAACCTGTGAGAGATAGTCAGAAACACAACCAGTCTAATCCTCCATGCTCTGCTCTAGCCATCAAAACATGATGGGACTTCACCACTTCCATGTCTTTCTGTAAACCTACATATCATGTCACTGCATATGGACTAAGTGGTGAAACAGCTAAAATTCTACCAGAACCTGTAAAGCTCAGCTTTAAGTGCACTAAAATTTGTCTGTCTTCTAATATTTTCATGTGAATGAAGAATTCCAAACTTTGGGACAATTTAATTCAGTTCTTCCTTGACTATGGCTCAAGGATGTGTAATAAAAACTGTATCTTTCATTTGAGAAAAATAAAGCACCAAACACTTCTGACCCAGGCACATCTTGGAACAGTGGATTTCCACATTCTGCTTTTTATTCTGTCTCAATCCCCAGCTAACAATAATTTCATTTTTTTGAGTCAAGAGACCCTCCTGCACATCCTTTCTGCAATTCTGATTCAAGCTATCGTGACAAACGCACGGAGGAACAACCATCAGGGTGCTCAGGAAACAATTCCTGACACAGGAATCTTGCCTTTCCTTGTGGGTTACAGCTGAGGAGTCAGAACCATTCAGGGTATCACTGTTCATTAGATCTCAGCAGCTTATGAATCATCACTGTCTTCCAAGAGAGCCATGTGAAGGCCCTTTCCACAGCCACCACTCCCCGCCGTGACACGTGGACTGTTCTCTTGACTAGTTGTGTCACACACCCGTGCAACCAAAATGCTCTTCAATCAGATTTCCCCTTCACTGAATAAATATTTAACATTTTTCAATTTGTTTGTTTTTTTTTTTGCCACGTTCATTGGACAATTACCTGCCCTACTGCACAAACATGCAACCAGGCAATTTTCTCATGTTTATTAGGCTTATTTCTGTTTAAATGCAGAAATGAATCCATTTCCCTAATGCCTTTCCCTGCAGAAGGACACACAACCACACACAGCCCCACTACTGCTCCTCCTCCTTTTGGATCCTGTGTTTTATCTACAACAAGAACTGAGGCAGCCTAACTTTAGTGCCCTTTTGCAGAGGCAATTTAGTTCAACCACTGGGACACAGATCTTGCTGAATGGAAGAGATGTCATTGTTTTTCAATGGATCATCTCCTCCATATTAAACCAAACCCAGCTGCCCATGCAAGCTGGTCACTGAGAAAAGGCAGGAAAGACATGGGTCATCTCATTAAAATTACACCAAATAACCAAGGAAATAGCAGGTATGTAATTTCTCAAGTCAGTTGCACTGCACAAGACCAAACAGAAACTCTCCATAATTCTCAACTCGTTAAAGTTAAAATTAAGTTTAGTTGGGTTTAACAAACTCATTGATAAACCCTGCAGTCTGTGAGTGATTTCTACTTTTTATCATGGAAAAAAGTTGTTTTCAGTAATAAACATGCCAAGGGCAGGCATGTCCTGTTGAAACATGACATGTTTTCATGAGTACAAATAATCGTTTATTGCATAAAACCCATAACATGAATTTAAATACATGGCAATGTTTGAAAGGTAGGGATGAAAAATTCCTCTGGGATGCAAAAAAAACCCAACCAACCAGAAATCACTTTTATTGGTACAGATACCCACTGAACTCACATATTTAACAATATGGTAGTTCTCATCCTAATGAAATGGAAACAAAACAACAAAAAAGGATGATGGAGGTATCCTAAAATCTGAGATAAAAACAGTGGGGAAGACTAGTGGCTTGATCTAAAATCCAGTGAAGCCAATTAAGCACCACTGTTGAGCTTCAGCCTGATTTTGGATTAAGGTCCTAGGTCTTTTTAATGAAGCAAATGGATATATGAGTATGAAAGCCTAAACAGAGAACAAAAAACTGAAAGAGCTCACTCTCTACATGTTTGTATGCACATGTATATACACACACCAGGCTTCAGCTTATGAGAATTTATTGCAGCACAGCTAAAATCTCTTCTTCAGCTAAAAAAGGAAAAAGGTAACTAGTGTCTATTACCAAAGATACACACAGTATTGAAATTAGGACTAGACTGTAAATCACCACTGCAATTAAAAGAACAAATTGGAGCATGTAACACAGAATGTGAACTAATAAATCAATAAAAATGTATGTAGTTGCTACTATCCCCAGAAGTATGTTCTGAGTAGTGGGCATGATGTTCAGGTAGGACTTGCTGTACATGATAGGAATCATGTTTAACACTGAAGCACCAGGTTACTACCCAGGGTAGTAACTCCATTACCTGAGTATGCCAGTTGTGTTACTGAAGCAAAACATAACATTAAAAACATACCAAACTTCTCCTGGCTCTTCTTTGGCTAAAAAAAAATCACACCACCACTCCGTTTCAGTCTTTAGCTATATTAAATAGTTAATAAATCTTAAGACACATCAGGGGCTTTGGGGGACATCAGTGCTCTTGTCCACTAGGGCTTCCTTTATTATATTGGCAATATTTTTTTCACAACAACCTCTTCTGAAAGAACTGGGCACTATATCTTGAATTGCAAACCAATAGGAGAGCATCAGGGACACACTGTATCTGAACTCTAGGCAGAATTTAGAAGGGCTTCACTCCATTTCATTCATCAAGGTGGTAACACAGGTACACTGGAGCACAGAATGCACAGAAAGTGGTCAGTACACACAGACCAGTTTCTTTTCTTTTCTTTCTAAGCCTATTGTACGAAGGGGAAGAAGCAAAGGGGAGTGAAAAAAATAAAGGAAAGCTAAGTGGGTTAACTCCTAGCACAAGTCAACCTTATTTTTTTTAAGAAAACACTATTTTTCCTCTGTCTTCACTCTCCTTTAAAACTATATATAGCAGCCTACAGCGGTTTCAATGCTTTCAAACAGTTGCTTCATAGAACCAGGGGAAAAAAAACCAACCAACCAGGAATTCAACACCAACTATGGCAGAGGAGCTATGGAAAATGTTTGGAGCTTCAGCATTCCTAGCTCTGGGAGCCCAGTGTCAGCTGAGCCTCCTGCATGTAGAGGTGAGAGCAGGGGCTGCAGTGCTTACCTGCTTCAGACAGGTCCCGCAGGGAGCTGCTCAGAGCACTCCTCTTCAGCCCCTCCCCAGTGGCATAGCTGTCATCCAGGCAAGCCCTGCTCAGCGTCCCATTCCCAGAATCCTTTTTCAGGCTGGAGCACTGAGACATGCTTGGACGCACCACACCCTTCTGCTTTTCTAGCTCAGCTGAAACAAAGAGAGACCCATTTTCGACTACAGCGCAGGGCACGGTAACATCACCACCCCTGTCTGTGCTCCCTTGTTACTCAGAATAATAAGCAAGGGCTCATTTTGGCACTGTGTAAATGCTAGAAAGGAACTTCACCCCTGTACCTACAGCTTTATATTACAAGATACAGGATGGAAGGCTCCTCCTCTCCTGGAAACAGAGAAGATAAAGCTCCACGTTTAGACATTCCAGCAAAACCTATCAGTTTGCACTATGGGCACCTAATTGAGAGAATACAGGAATATCAACAAAAATTCAGTGAAATGTATTTGAAGGGCCACCACTGAGAATTTCAGAGGGATGTAAATGATCCCTAAATTTCTTACTGTAATTTATACTACAAATTACAAATCCATCTCTCCTCTGCTGTTTGCTATCTGCAGCTTGTCCAGGCTAAATGTCCTGCTGCAGTAAACAGTCAATCAACTCATCTGGGATTTAAGATAGCATTAAGTTTTTTTTCTCTTTGTAGAATAAAAACCATGGAAAACCCCAAATTATCTGGAACTTTAAAAAGTTCTCACAGGTTATACACATATTTCAGATTTTCTTATTGTCATTAGCTTGAAAATGCTCTATCGTATGTACCTTTGTACTTACACTCTATTCTGTGCTTTTCCATTTCTTGAACCTCTGCAATTGACTCCCTCAGATCATCTGTAAACTTCTTCCTGTCCTGAGGATTTGGTGCATTGAAATTTATTAGTACTTTGATATCTGCTCCTGGAACAGCTGACGTGAGCCGAATGCCATTGGGATAATCTAGAAGAAAGAGTCAAGAAAAACTAAGCTCTGATTATTCCAATCACTTTGCTTTTTATTAAAAAATGCCCAGATAACTGTAGGCTTTTTCCTAATACTACCATAAGGGGGCTAAGTCAGAGAAACAGAAGTCTAAAGGCACAGAATTAGAATGAAAATCCCTAAGACACGTTGGAACTGATTAACTGTCAGGATGCTGAATAAATATTGAATGATAAGCCTTTTGCAGCTGTTACCCTTAAGTTACAATGTATAAACATAGAAGAAAAATCCCAGAAAGAATAAAAGAAAAAATGCAGGGGATAATTTTTGTTTCATGGAACAGATCCCTTTACCCACCTTGCTCAGTTGTGACTGAAGTTTTGCTGAGTAAAGACTGCCTGAGTACCTCTCTAGTTCTAGAAACTCCCTTATAAATTGTTTGCAGAAAGACAAACAGATTAGCACATACAACTTGTAGTATTTCCTATTCATTTGAGTTCCTTGGACATCTAACTTCCCTTTTTAAAAAAAACCCAACATTAAAATTACCTTAGAAATTACACACTGAGGAAGCTGAAGGGGTGGGTTTGTTCCTTTTCCCTCTTTTTGCCCACATTATAAATGTCTTTCCAGTAACAGGCAGATTTTCCAGCAAATTGCCTTTGCCTTTTTTCTAGCTGTGTATCTGACAATGCAAATTTTAACAGCTGGTCAAAAATATCTGCTGGTTGGGATGAAAGGTTCCTTTACAGAAAAATAGCTTATAAGGAAGACATGTTCTGCTGTAGAGAACAGAATCAGCCTTTGCTTCAAACACAGACCTGTAGAAAAGGGGTGTCAGAAAAACTCAGACACTGCATTGTGGTTCACAACGTTTTCTTTTACTCAACTGCCTGACTTTACCAGTTTGCTAAAGCTCCTAAATATTTACTCAGGTATTCGACCTGAAGTTCAAGTGCTCCCACGTACTAGAAATCCTTTCCTCAAGAACCAGGTGATGTCAGGCAGTCTCTTCCCTCAAAGCTGTTTGGTTTCAACAAGACTTGGAGCACTGAGAACTGAGTGCAAATGCTAAGCTCTTGAAAGGCTGCCTTAACTTCCAAATCAGTCCCACGTAAAGTGAGACAGGTCCATTTTCCTGCTCAGAGGAAAAGAGGTGCCACCTTCCACAAGCCTCAGAGGGTACAGAGGGGAAGGAGGGAGCAAGAATTTGGGGTTTCTGCCCAGGTTTGATATTGATATCTTGCAGAGAAGTAGAGCTGATCTGCTTCTCCTGACCAGATGACAACTGCACCCATGGTCACTGAAATCAGGCAGCTGCTGCCTCCAGAGCCCAGCAGGTGGCTGTGCCACAGAGGGGGCTGGTGCTGAGCATGCCAAGGAGGAGAGCACGGTGTGACACCACGTGCTGCTTCAATCACTGCACCTGGGTATGCAGCAAGCTGCTCTAGAAAGTGCACCATGTGGAACAAAAGAAAGGAAGATGTTTAAAAAACTAAATGAGTAAACTTGGTAACCCCGAAGTACCATGGGCTGCCCTCACATGTGAACAAAGAGTGAGTTTCCACATGCTAAGCAAACAAAAATACATTATTACCAGAGATCCTTCTCTATATCATATTGATTAAGCATCAAGAAACACGTAAATAGTTATTGATTTCAGATACACTCTTAAACTTATCTGCTTGCCCTTTCTGTTTTGTCAGGGATTTCGACTGAAAACATAAAATACACTTCCCTTACGGCCTATTTATTTCTAGAGATATAGGAAATCATTTTCCCTTTTGGAGCTCATCCATCCCTCAATGTAGCTGACTTCTACCATCAACACCAATCATACAGTTCAGCCTCACCAGCAGCCAAACAAACATTTTTGTTGCTTCTGCTGCAGTGACACTGAATGTTATTCACTTGAAAGCTGCTGGTTCTGACCTACTGACTGGCATGAGGGCTCTGGCCACAACACCCCAGAGCTGCTAGGCATAGGGGAAGCCAACAATTTGAATTCTACAAACCAGAGAAGAAGAAAACTTCTCTCTCCCAACTGGAAAATGCTGCATTCCTCCTACCAGGCCCCACCACCAGCAGCCCAACCAGCACAATGATTCCCCACCATGAATTCACCTCAGGAGCCCAACTCTGTCCACTGAAGTGTCTCACTTACAATCCCTGCAGTTCACTGGGAGGAATCCAGCCCTGTACTTCTAGTCTCACTATAGATATTTTTAACTTTACTTGAATAAAGTGTTTCTGCTCAGCATGCTCATGAGATTTCTTATGCTTTTGTAAAAGTATTTAACTTTACAGCAGAGGAATTACATATTCTCCTATATCCAATGTACAATCCAGGATAGAAATATTTGGCCTTCCTTTCTAAAAATTAATTTTATCACCATGCAATGTTTGCACAAGGGAGAATGAATGTGTATGCATATAAATAATCTGCAGGCTGCACTGCTGCTATAAGCTCTACAGAATCTTCCCTTTTGAAATCTCCAGATGCTTTGACTCAAAAACAGCAACTTCTTCAGAGCGAGAGGAGCACTGGAGCACATCCTCAAGGACGAGCAAAAACTAAAGAGCTTTCCACAACAGCAAAGCACAGGAATACTGAAGGTCACACTGAAATACATGCCATTTATCATGAAGGTCAAGGTTTGCTCTGCAAACCACCAAGCCATGTCCAACAGACTGTCTCCCTGTGACCACACAGCCAACTATGCTCTGCCACGTTATCACTGATGGGCTTTAGCAAAATACTTGCTTTTTGTTGGGTTTTTGTCTGCTAAGACTGAGCTTGGCACACATTAAAGATAAAAAGAACATTGGATTGATGCAGATCACAACTGACATAAACAAAAGGTGCCAGAAAATGCAAACTTTCAGCCAGGCTCTCTGCTTTGTGTTTGTATTTGAATGAGTATACATTACCCAGGCACAAAGTTAAGCTATAAATCAGGAAAATGAATTAAGTAGTCCTTTGAATTACACACAGAATTATAATAGTAATTATTTACTGTAATACATTCAGTTCCAGCTAACTGCACCATTGACTCAGCAACAGATACAACACATTTGTTTCTTTACAAGCATTCACAGGTATTCACAAACAACACATCTTGCTAGACACAGTTTCTGACTACAACCCAAAAACCATCCCACAGCAGTCTTGCTTTCTCTTGTGCTGACATTGTCCTGTCTCAAACTTCAGGGCTAACTTGAATTCAAATCTATTTTATTCCTAAATTCAGAATCAAGTCCTGTCCATCCCTTTCATCACACAGGTTTTATTTTATTTACAAACCAAAAGGAGAGGAAAGACTTACACTGGTTCTCAAACAGAAGAACTTGCATTCCATAGAGGGAAAACGACTGTCGGAAACTGTACGTAACCGAGTTCTTCTTCTTCTGAAAAATCTTGGTCACCTGAAAGTTACCAAAGAAACCAAGTGAAATAGCCCTTTTGCCTTATCTGGTTTTGGAAAATTATTGTTCTTAAGAACTAATGGATCAGAAAAGACTTTATGACAAAGCTATAACCTGTCAGAAAATAGGAATTTGTCATTTTTTCCTCTTAACCAGAAGGTTTAGTATTTTATCCAAAGACAAAGCCTTTGTGTTCCATGTTCTCCAGAACACTGCTGCTCAGAATTCCAGAAAGAAAAAAAACCAACAACCTGCATCCTTCCTGTGCACTGAGCACACGTGTGAAAATGTAGATATGTTTAAACCAACCTTTCTAAATAAACTCAGCTGCTACCACACTGTCCTTCATGCTTTTTCCTCACAGAGTGAGCAAAGGCAGGGCACACCCATGGCTCTTCACACCGGGTCAGTTCTTAGCTCAGATTCCCATGTGCTCTGAGCTTCCAAACCTGCTTCAGCTGCCAACACTGCTCACCCAGCCCTGCCATGCCCAGCACCTGCCTCTAGAAAACCTCTGGGTCTGTGGAAACCTTTCCACAAGAGGAGTAACATACTATGGCTCACCATCAATTTACAACCAAGAGGTCTATTTTTACTAGTGCTTTCTAATTCTAACTTTTGATGATGGCATTTTACTAGAACTGACAAATTTGGTCTATGTTACTCCCAAAACAGTTGGGTAAAACTACAGAAATCTGAGTAGGTAATAAAAACAACAGAAAACTTGCAACCTGAAGATGACAATGTCCCATCATTTTACACCCAAGCTCACATTTACAAATGGGAGGTTATGTTAACAATCAAAAGGATTATTTTATATTTTTTATTTACTTTCTGTTTTAAACTCTGAAAATATGTAAAAATTACACCCAATTAAATTGTGCATCTGAAGCATGTCTTCTTTGTAGCAAAACATGTCAAGTACTTAGTTTAATTTGCATCCAGTTCTGGGCTCCCCAGTACAAGAGAGACAGGGAACTACTGGAGAGAGTCCATGGGAGGGCAACAAAGGTGACTGGGGAACTGGAGCAACTCTCTTATGAGGAAAGGCTGGGAGAGCTGGGGCTGTTCAGCCTGGAGAAGAGAAGGCTGAGGAGACCTTATCACTGCCTGGAAGTATCTCAGGGTGGGTGCAGGAGGATGGAGCCAGACTCTGCTCAGTAGTGCCCAGGGACAGGAGGAGGGGCAATGGGCACAAGCTGGAACATGAGAAGTTCCTTTGAAATATGAGGAAAACCTTCTTTACAGTGAGGGTGACAGAGCCCTGGGACAGGCTGCCCAGGGAGGGTGTGGAGTCCCCTTCTCTGCAGACATTCCAAACCCACCTGGATGCAGCCCTGAGTAATGTGCTCCAGGGGATCCTGCTTTAGCAGGGGGGTTGGACTGGATGGTCTCTAGAGGCCCCTTCCAACCCTTACAATTCTGTGATTAGTTTACTTCTTAGTTCTCAGATAACAGTCAAATACATTCCAAATAGAATGCAACATATTTCTCTATTTTTAACAGGAAATCAACCATATCATTCCAAGCTGTCACTGGTTTTGCATGTCTTTTTTTCAAAAGACTGGGTCAAGTTAAATGCACACTAAAAAGTAAAGTTAATTGTAAACTGTATTTCAACACATCCTGCTCCCATTTCAATGAATAAACATGTCTGGGTCATGGAACAAGTGGGGAATACAAAGTAGCATGCAATTCTGTTTTTCCACAAGTAACTTCAATTCATTATTCACAGAATAAGGAATGTCTCTGCTTACCCATTAGGGAAAAGGGTAAACTGGAGGTATTTTTTGTTCTTTACAGCAAAAGCTATTGCATCAAAGTGCTTTCTTACAATAGAGTGTAGAAATCAATAAACAATTTGGTTTAAAAACAAATTATATATAATGAAGAAAATTCAGAAAATTTCAATCTTAATCATCCCAAGATGGTTGGAGTACAGAGTAAAAGGTAATAGATACTTATTTTTAGGAATGCTCATGCACTTAATTCCCACTGATTTCATGGAGATAGGCATCTCTGCATACCACCCTAGAAGCCTGTCCACCTGCAAATACATACCACAAGAAGATCATTAAATAGAAATATTTCTCGCTGGTGCAGCCCAAGCTTCTGAGGTTTATTTGGGTCTGGGACTTCAAACAGCCTGCAGTAGCACACCAGCCTCCGGTGGGGCAGGGAGAGGACCTGTGGGAATAGAGAAAGTCATGGTCAATACAGCAATATTTTGCCAAGGAACAGCACCTTGCACACCTAGAGTCCTTCTTTAAAAATCTGAAGTAGGGAATGTTCTCTGGTAACTAAACATGTCTTTCATTTATTTATATATGATATCTCTTTATTCTGCATAGGAGTTAAGGGATTGACCAGGCAAAGAAAAACAAGACTGTTTCTGCTTCTTCTTCCTTTCCATGAGCAGGGGGAGAAAAAAAACAGAGGAGGAAAAAGAGTTTAGGACTCTCTATCTGCCCTTGTTCCTGGTTGGTTAGCCAGTCATTTGCTGAGATTTCAGTTTTTCCCCCAAATCCAATGACAACTGTACTAATAGCAGACAAAATGCTAATTGCATTGAATTTATCTATGGCAGTAGCTTAGTTACTCTTCCTGGATTTTCAAGAAGGTATTTTATCAAACATCTGACATGTTCTAAAGGAGTCAGCATGCTGAAGAATGCTGGAGAGATCAAGGGTTTCTATTTTTCAGGCTACTCTGGTCACTGAACAGCTCACATGAGCTCTCAGTGAAAAGTGGCAGGAATAAATGTTGCATGTTCTTGATCCCTCCTACCTCCAGACTCAGTTTCCCCAGCACATGGTAGTCTGAGATCTGCTACAGCAGAGTAACAAAACCCAAGGGCAGTCACTGAGCTTATGAACTTGCAAACAACTACAGTGAGCTCTGGTATTGAAATGTAACTCCAGACACAGCTTTCATTCAGAGCAATGGATGAGCTGGTGAGATTCTTTTCCACCATATTTTAAAAAGCTCACATCTTTCAGTTGCTTTTACAGGCCAGTGGCACTGCCTGGCATGTGCCCATGAAACAAGGACAGGTTCTTCCCTTGGGAATATGAAGCTTTGTGTGATTTTAATTGTTTACACAGAAAAAGCAAGAAATAGAAGACCGAAAAAAACAAGTGAAAGTTTGCAGTTCCTTCTCTGGATTGCCCTGAGTGAAGATGCTAATGGGAAGTGCAGTTATAATTGAGGCAAAAAGAATTAGGATCTAATTAGTATAAGCTAATCAGATTTGAGAGCACTATGTGCACTCCTCTGCTATGAGGGGGTTTCTCTGATTGTTCAGAACTACTGGCATTAATGTTACCATGAAAATAAAGTCAGTGAAACACTGCATTAGCAGAATCTGTCTACAACTCAAATCTGAAACCAGTATTTTGTATGTTCATCTCTCTTTCAGAAGAGAACTGTTAAATTAACTGGTAATATCTTTCTAGAGCATCATACTGAAATGGACCGGAAAAAACACAGCAGGGCCCAGGTGGAAAATTGAGTCACAACTGTCATGTTACTTAATTGATTTATTCTTCACTGGCTCTCTAAGTTCTACAGTGATGACACCTTTTAAAATGCAAAAAAAAAAGTGTACTGAAAAAAGGTCTAGAAAACTCTTGGCAAGAAATCAAGCAGACTCTGGGAAAGATATTTTTAAGAAAGGTCTTTATGCTTTGCAGCATTATTTCTATAACAATAGGCAAATTTGGCTTGAAAGCAGCCCAATTTTTTTAAAAGCCAAACTGTAATAATATAATACATTATTGCCAGTGCAAGAAGATGCTGCCAGTTAAAGTGACTATAAACTTGGAAGGAATATGAGAGGAATACGTACACAACCAAGTCCATGGTGCAGAGATCCAATCTACAGTAGAAAGACATATACAAGTTCATTAAACTTCAGAGAAAGACAGAACTGTATCATAGCAAGTAATTACGTCAGGGTCATACTATGACTAAATGCCTATAAAGTAAAAACAAATATTTCTATCAATAAAGACTGTTGGCTGTTTCCTCAATGTTCTTTCACCATTTTAAAAAGTTTCTCCACAGAAGAATCCTTGAATCTAGGAGTCTATTGAGGGCATTGTTTTCTTAATCCCATTTAATTCACAAGGTCAGGATTAGTTCTAAGGATTTGAATTGCCACATGCCTGAATAAAAAAAGAACTATGAAAAAAACCACCTCCCACAGAAGCCTATATATAAAACTAAATCCCCAAACAATCCCAGAAAATAAGTTTCTTATGAAAGCACAAATGACTTGGCAAATACTGACTTTAGAATATTCATTTGCCTTCTCCACAAAAAAAGCTTTTATAAAGGAAATCTTGCTTTCTCTCTCTTCTGCTTCAATCCAAGGGATCCCCCCAATATTTTCTTGCTGGGAAACAGAGGCAAATTGGATTATTTATTTTTGGTGGTCCCTTATTCCCTTCCCCCTCTCCTCACTTGAAGCTTGTCTGAGAAGAGATTACAATTCAAAGCTCTTTAAAAGCAGAGATACATGCTCTTTTTCTTAATTAAAAAACCTTGCAACCCAACACTCCCTGCTGTAGTAAAGTTCCCCAGAGTTGACAAAAACTGATGTAGGACTTGAAAAAACATGCAAGTTTAGCCCTTTTCTGCCTTCATTCTGGGCAGAAGATGACTCTGCAACTTAAATTCAGGATGTTTCCACATTGGATAGAATCGTTAGCATGTAAAATATTAGCCTTAATATGTCTCTTCACTCAGCTCCTAAAACAATAGCAAAAATGCTGTGCCCTTCCTTTTCTCCCTCCTTTTCCAACCGACACTTTGGAGACTAATTTATAGAGCAAAGTATTTCAGAATTTTTCCCACAACAAAACAGGAAGTATCTTTGGATGCTGAAACTCAGCACTAGAATCCCTGGGACCTGGTTGCCCAGTTTTGCTGAGACAAAAGGACACAATCTCCCAGAGCTGGCTGCAAAGCTGAGAAAGATGTTGACAGGAACAGGAGTTCTCTGGAAATGATGGAGCCACAACTGATAGCTTAAATGTTGAAATACAATTCTCTACAACATCACCCTTAACAACACACTTCGATTCTCTTAAAACAAAGATGAGACCTGCCCAAAACGCAGATTTTTCAGTGTAATTTCAGAACTGTAAAGCTTGAGGTAGAGAAAAGAGTTGAAGGCTCACAACATCAGCACTAATGAGTACCAGACTGCAGCAACAAAATGCATCTGCCCTGTTAATGCTCCAAAATTAAACCCAATCCTACAGCTCACCATTTTTTTGACCATTTCTGCCTTTCGCCATTTATTAACCAACGTCTAGTTGTAAGGACACGCCTCGGTTTTGTTCTGTACTGCCCATGGCCCTACATCCCCCCAAGAACTGACAGGCAGCACCAAGGGAACTTACCGGCTTCTTTCCCACTATGAGTTTTTCCACCTTCTGGACCTGGGACACGTGATCCTCGTTGGTTTTCAGCTCCCGTTTGCGGATGCGCTCGTAAATCCCGATCAGCATCTCTCGTGGGATGTCCTCACCATCATCCACGCCTGCAGAGCCCAACAGTGCCCATTAACCAGGCTGAGGGGTCTGACCCTGTTATTTCTCAGGCCCTCCTGCCTGCCTTCCCAAGGCAGCAGGTCTGGCACTCACTGAGCACTGCCTTTAGCCCAAAAGCTGCCCCCAGTATGGCAAGACATGGATGCAAATTGTCCAGCTTTAGTTTTTATTATTTTAAAACACTAAAAATAAGTAATAAAAAAGCTAATTTCCTGTGTAAATTCATTTTTTCAAAGCTCAAGTGAGTTAAATGACCCTTTCGACCCTCCATCTGACTTCCTCCTAGGAGCAGACCATGGGAGGGAAGAGAACAGCCATTCCATTTTGCCTCTATCCCAGTATGACTCACATTCTGCTAATAAAAAAAATGACAGCCTTATGAACACTCAGTAAAATTAATTCAACCAATATTTCCTGGATGATTTAAAAACCAATTAATTTACCCTGGTAAAACTGGTTACAGTATCATTGTTTAGCACTGTCTGATCTTTATTGGCACGTCAGTATTCTAGCAAATGCCTTGAATCTTTGCTCCTGAATTTTCAAGAGCAGTGGAAGGAGCCCAGTTTCAATAAATGACTTAAAGCTGGATTTCCTGGGGACAGGGAGATGCATGTCTACTTTTCAAACAGGCTTTAAAGCAATAACCCCTTATCTCTCATGCAGAAGCCAAAATACAATATTTTGTCACCCAGTGGAACAACTGCTCTGATAAAAAATTCTGTGATAAAACAGCTTCTTTGCAACTAAAAGGAAGTAAAACCACCTCTGTTCTGTTCCACACCAGCAAGTCTTCCACAGAGCAGCCTCTGCAATCCAGTAATTCAAATTTAGAGCCAAGGTAGCCTGTTACAAAACCATCTATGAGAATAAAAAATGGCTGCATTCAGGCTGGACCTCAGAGAGAATGTTCTGTATTTACTGTTACAAATATAACTGCAGTGTGATGCAAAGAGATGCATGCCAGGCCTTTTTTAATCTTTATGGGCTTTGTAATAAAATGCCAAAACTAACTTAAATTCTGCTAAGCTAAAACATCTGCTTAGCATAGATCACTCATTAATACCTTATATAAATCTAAGGGAATAAAATCCCCACACAGGACTTTCATTTTCAAGATGGGAAATTCCAGAACACCACAAGTATTTTGTTTTCACCAGCACTGAAACAAAAGCACCACATGCACACATGAATACAAACTGCCTCGCATCTGAGACACACCCCTTTATTTTTACAACCCGTTTTTTCTGCCATTGCACCCACTTTTAGACATGGCTGAGAAAATGGCAGTCAAGCAAACCATCAGTACTTGCTTGGCCTGCAGCTGAACAGTCCTGAACATCCTTTGCTGCTGAAAGAAGAGAGACTCTGCAGGAAGTTGTGCCTGTTCTGGGCTTAAAAGCAGGAGGAGGAGAGGACAGCAGTGGCTGAGCAGGCCAATTTCCTGGCCTTGTCACAAACTCACAGCAATGGAACTATTGTACAAGTTTTTTCCCCATGGGCACAAACTATCTTAAGGGAAAAAAAGGCATGGGGACTTCAGCCTCATTTTATTTCTCTGAGTCCTGTGATAAAAGGTGAATGCTGCCTGATCCATTCTTCCTCGAGTGCCTGGGAATAAGAGGGCGGATCATCTCAGTTTTCCTCCTCAGCTTCCTGCCAGGCCCTGACACTGCCTGAACTGATACTTCAGAAAAACCTGTTAGCTTTTTTTTTCCACTGGAAAGACCCAGGATAGAAAGAGCTGAGATACAAATTTGGACAAATATCTGCATTTTTTTTTTTGCAATCTAACTGCAGGCTCAGGTGTGCCACAGCCTGGTAAGTAGTTTCTTCATCAGGAAATAAACCAATGAAGAAACCAAAATGAAATTTCTGTGCTATTTCCTGTGTCTCTTTTGGGAAAGTTTTGGAGTGTTTGATTATTTTTTTTTTTCCCCCCACCAAAATATTCAATCTTTAGTTCACCTCCAAAACTCCCATAAAAAACCTCACACACATAGTGACGTGTTCATTACTATCCATACACACACAGCCTGAGCAAATGCAAGTTTTCTGTGGCAACACCTTACCTACAAGTTTCTACCAAAATCATTCATCTGCATCTCTTAAGGGAATGGAAAGCTGCCTCAGGCCACAGGTTTGTACCTCTATCAAAAACACAGAGACAATGGCTCCATCTCCTCTGCATGTCTACTTAGCAAGAACAAGAAGCGAATGCTCTTTAAACAAGGGAGGGAAAGAAATGTCCTTTTAGTATAAAACTCTAAAATATGTAAGAGACCTTACTTTGTTTAATTCAGTCAGAAGAGAGATCTGATATCCCTTGCAATGCATTGGTTGCTATGGAGAAATGACAAACCACAAGCTATGAGGACAATATCTCTGTAAGAATTCATTGGTAAGCTCATGCTGCAGTGGAGAGTGTAATTCACTCTCTAGAAAGCACATTCCTCCTCTCAGGAAGAGTCCACACTGTGCAGTGATTTAGTCTATAAAAAAACACAGGTGCAATCTTTGCAACAGAATTTATTTACTTCCATTCATGTGTACAGAAGCTGCTGTCTTTATGAGCTGCCCTTTGACTTTGTGAAGGGTGTTAAGTGTGGAAAACTCCAACTAGATCCAAAAACCTAAGGCACAAGATGATTTCTGAATACAAGGAATTGGTCACTTTTCAGCTACATCGAAAGGACTTCCAATACAAGGATCTGACCCCACATCCACTCAAGACAGACAACATAAAAATGACAAAATACTATCTCCTTAGTTCTGATTTCTGCTTAGCTCTGTTTTCACTACTCCAGAAATAATTGAGGCCTGTAAAAATGACACTAGTTTTAAAAGTCAGGTGAAATCAAAACCAAGTGCCCCGTATCCAGTCTTTTTCCCCTCTCATGGCAGCAAAAAGGAACACCTTTCATGACCACCTTGGTCAGAGTTTGCTTACCCCTTAGGTTCTTGATGAAATCTTCCAGCTTCATTTTGCGCTCCGGTTTCACATTCGGGCTGTACATATCTGTGTTTAACAGGATGATGGCAAAAGCCAGGATGAAGATGGTATCAGGATTTCTAAATTGTCTCACCACACCAGGATTGCAGATACAGTATCGTTGGCTGTAAGGAAGCAAAGAGGGAAAGCTGTCACAGCTATGAATTACTGTTCTAATCTCACCAAATACACCACCTGCTGCTACATTCCAGAGGATGAGCAAGCTCCACACACATATTTAGCTTTCTGGCCACATATTTTCATAAGCCAACCCTAGAATGTAGAAGGCTTTTGTTTTCTACTACCACTGTAACTTCACTTCTTGGTACAGATTCTGAGCTACACCAGCTTCTGGATTTCATTTTTTTCCAGCAATACCTATTGACAGCAGGCAAGGATGCAGCATTGATTCTAGCTCACTGTCACATGATGATTTATGTCCCATCCTGCCCTGGGTAAAGTACACTGTTGTTAGTATTTAATGCTCTTTATTCCACTATTGTTGAAATGCTTAATGAAAGGTTGAGAGCATATATACTCTAAAAATGTAAATGGTCTTATAATTCCATTCATACTATTAAATGCAAAATTGTTAGAGACATTCAAAAATCCCTGAATTTCCTTTCAACTGATGCCAGAAGGGATTCTTAATTGATAACCCTTGTTACATTAATACCAATGACATACCTGAACAGCACCAGCAAATAAAACTAGTTCCTACTTGGCAAAACCACCACAGGCTGCATCTGAAACTCTCTGTAGCTCACAAGGACAGTGCAAGGAAATAACTCAGAGACATGCAGCCTCTGCAGTTCTCCAGTGACCATCAGACAGCAGCAGGTTTCTGGTGACTGAATAATTTATTTCAGCATCCTACCTAAAAGCTTCAATGAGCCGTTCTACTTTCTGGGCTTCTCCTTGAACACGGATATGAGCCTGAAATTTCCTGAGTGCTTCGTCCAGTTCCATGGTTGAGAAGTCCATCTCATCCACAACACAGCTAGGATAGAAACAGATTGCCATTGTGTCTTTGCATTTCTAACAACACAGTACCAAAGGTAAGATTTGGGGACAAAAGAACCTTGCTATTTTCCATCTCCTGTAGGGATTTATGGAGCTTTCTGAAATACTGAGCAGCAATTACAGTAATTGTAGGTAAGCTGTGAAGGAAGGACTGCAAAGGACAGATCGATGAGAATGCAGGCATGTGAGCAGGCCCTTTTTTTAACAGAAGAGCTGCTGGAATGACAAATGTCTGACCAATGTCAGTGACATAGCACTGCCAAGAATTATCAATTAATTGGTGCTCCCAGGCCAATCCATTACCACAATGCCTATATTAAGAATAACAAAATGTCAAATCTCAACCATCCTGCAGCAAGCACAAAAATCTGCCCCAAATGGCTCTGTGTCTAGGAATGTTCTTACATATGGAGAACAAAAGATTAATCTGATTTGGATACTCTCACTGCAACTGCAATTCCCACCTCCTCATCCTTGGCCAGATCTTTCAGTTCACATTTATGGAGAGCTAATTACTTTCTTGCTTTGAAAATCCAGTGCTGACAAATATTAAAAAAAACCCAGTTTAATATAATCAACAAAGTGAACTATGTAATTCAAATACTTTGGTTAATGACTATTTAAAATCAGAAGGTTATAAATTGCCTTTCTTTAAACTTAGCTTTTAGTTTTGAAATAACCAGACATGAATCACTGCAAGTAGCAGCACTGTAATGCAGAAACCACAGAAAGAAAGCACAATCCAGTTTTAAAAGCCTTTTCTTAAATGCATAGCTATACAATAATAAATTAGAGTAGCTCACATTTTTCTTCTAGTCACATTGTAGCTAACTCAGATTAATACCTAAGCAATTTATTCACTTCACCTTGATTGTTTTTCCTTTTATGCAGAAGAGCAAGGAAAGAAACAAACAAGCCTGACATTTCTCACACCCTTTCCAATCCACACCTAAAAACTTATTATCAGTTCTGTAATAATGTTCACAGTCTTCCCACCTATGGGCAGTTCTGTAACATTTTTTAAAAGCTCCTTTCTCCTTCAGAGGTGTAATGCACATGTGCAGACACGCTGGAGTCAAAATGAAGCAATTACAGCAATTAAGGACCTCCAGAAACATGCTGGCCAACAACATAATGGGGAGGGTCTTTAAGTTTTATATGAACTATGCAGACAGCAGATTCACCACCATGGGCAGTGTTCTAACTGGGACCAGCATTTTCCTGCAAATATTTCAAAACAGCAAACTTTTTCTTTCTAGTGTAATTCTCTGTAAGGACAAAAAAGGGGACAAGTTAGTTTGGCTACATCTATACAGCAAATGGAACAATGAAAGTAAAATAAGTTCAGACACACACACTGGTTTAGCTTTTTTAACCTTTAATAATAGTATAATCACCGTAATGATAAAGGGAACATGATTCAATGGCCTTTAGTCACTGTAGGAGTTGAGTACACACATGCTGGGTGAATGAGCCTGTGCTTGAGGGAGCACATCTCCCTGCTGCAGATACATCTCCCAGCAGCCAGGCCTCACACCACTGCTACCTGGGCAGACAACTGGAACTTCTCCCTGGCTGCTGCCCCCTGCTCACCACCTCCCTGCAAAACTTAGGCAAGGCAAGTGGAACATACCATCTCCTGGGTCACTGCAGCTACAACTGCCCCTTGCCTGTACCCTTGGACATCACTGTGCAGTGTAATGAACAGGAATGATGGGAGTCCCCTACAGAAAGTCCTGCTTTCCCTTTCACTTCCAACAGTGTTTTTTGTGATAATTTGATTCTTCCTTGGAGTGGCTGCACCTTTGGTTTCTAATGCCAAGCCCAGATGCAGCAGCAGGTCAGACTCGCAGCACCCCAGGCTCCCTGCAGAGCAGCAGGGCTTTGGGAAGCACATCTGATGTGCCCCAAATGTCAAGAGACTCAGGGCTCCAGTGAAAAGAAGACTTCTAACAGTTGAAATACCTTGACTGACAGGATCCAGGAAACGTGAAAACAAATCAAGACAAATCACTTAAAATTACATTGACTAACAGAAAAAGGATTGTCTGTTAAAATATCTTTTCTGTGTAACCAGTTATTACCAGTTCAACAAAATTACCTCCAAATGTGATATTTAAGATGAAATGGTTTCTATGAAAAAATACCCTGTTCCTATTTGCAGGGAAGGTGCAGAACAATCAAGAGAACTGCACTGCTTGTAAGGTGATCTTCACCCCAAAGCATAGCTGAAACATCTGACTTAGGAACAGGTTTATTTCAGCAAAAGGACTGTTGTGGGGTTGCAGACAGGTGATCATGACCTTACTCTTGACACTTCATCTCACCACAGACACAGCATCTGGCCTAGCAGAGACACCCTGACCATTACCCCTAAGCTGCTGTGGGTCTGAGGCAGTGAGGGGACACAACTTGTTCAAGGTCACAAACATGAATCATGTGAGATGATAAATCAGGTCATCCTGGATCTGTGCTGTTTTCTTTTAAAAAATTGGAAATTTTTTTCCTTCATTCTTCATTCTAGTCTGCCTCACCATTGCAAAATCCAGGTGATGAGTACAAGTAGCTATTAATGCCTCCTGTTAAACAGGGGTGGCATCAACATCAGGCCATGTTCTATTACTGTGTGTTGTGAGGTGGCTACTACACTTCAGGGCCTGCTTTGGTGCAGAGGCTCTTCTGCTGCTTTCTGCTGGCTGCTGCACTAGCCAGGGCACAGGAAAGAAAGGGAAAATCTCTAGAAAAAGGTCTATGGCATATGGACATGTCATTAGCTGTATTAACACAAGTGTTCAAGCTTGTAAATTGAGATACCTAAGTTCTGACAGTGCAACAGTAAGACCAAGATGACTGTAGGGAATGTGACCAAAACCTTTGCATCATGAAGACAGTCAGAGCTGCCTGTAAGAAAATAAAGGTATTGGCAGACACCTTAACCCACTATGGTATCAATATTCTTTCCTCAACAAAGACTGCCCCTATAGACCAAGGCAAATTTCAGAACAGCTTTTCTTACACTCTGGTTAAGACCTGTGCTCAGAATATTTCCTAGTCTTCCTTAATGGGCAAGATGTGGGGGTTTTGCTTTCACTTGCAGCAGTTTTGCTAAACATTTTGCTAAATTTTTCAGACAATTACTTGAAAGAAACTGTCCTAAGATGTATTCATATTAGGTCAGTATATCAGATACAAAAAAAACCCAAACCCAAAACTCCAAAAGAATATGTGTTTTAAATAACCTCTCAGAATAAAGCAACTTCTTTTTTGGTCTACTTTGTGTAGAGTTTATAAATTTATGACCAAGCTGCTAAAAGTTTGTATTTCTGCTTTGTGGTTTTTTTTGTTTTTTAAAACAGTTTTTGTTCATCTAATCTTTTGGAAAAGAACTGTTTGTATGGATCTTTTCAGCATAAAAAAACCTGCTGAAATCCCTGTTTACCTAACATCTGAGGTATTTGCCTGTAATCATGATTTTCAAGTTCTGCTACTGAGGAAACCTTATGTTGCCTATAGTATTATTTTGCTTCATTCATTAAATTCTTAGAGCTCAAGGAAGGAAAAAGACTTTGAAATAGCATACTCTTAGGGCTAAAAAATTAAAAAAATAAATTTAGAGCAAAAGTACATGACTACAGGGAATATAAATTCTTGCAATGATCTTGCTGGCTCAATAACAAAACCTGTAAACTTAGCTGGAAAGCAAAGAAATAAATATTTGCCTGTGTGTATGTTTTCTTTCTTAACCCTTAGAGTCTGGTTTCCCCTCCCTCAGAGCAACCCAGAGATAAGCACAAATCATTCAGAGACCAATATACTTGTAGCTTGATGCATTGACCTGGCCATGCCAACAACCACCTCCTGCCCACGCTCAGTACTCACTCTAACACGTCCCGGTTGAACTGTTTTTGCCGGTTTCCCAAAAATTCTCCAATCATCTGCCTGCTGAGACCTTTCCTTTGCAGGAGAAAGTGGGCAACACCAACTGGAGTATCTGGCACAAAACCTCGCTCAATGAGGTACTGGACTCCTTTTTCAGGTTTTCTGAGGAGAAATGAAAATGCAAAATTATTAATTGGATCTGAAGGCATCAGATGGAAGTTTTACAGAAAACTTAGTGATAGTTCCAGGATAAATGTACCCATCCTGTAGAACATACCACTCACTGTTAACAGCTTACTAGCTTTGAAACACATCTTTGCATGTGTTATTACACATTTCCCTGCTTCACAGTCTTTCCAAAGAGGAGCTTTAGATGCAAAAGCAGCTTCAGGCACAAAAGGCAAAACACTTGTTAGTGCAGAAGACCAGCCCCACATCAGCCATCAAATGCTCCTGTTGCTGGGAGAGATGTACCTTCCAGATGTACCTTCCAGAAACTGAACTAAGAAGTTGCTGTGGACAAACAAGAAATTAAGCCCCCCACCCCCTTGCTGCCAAAAGTTAAACTTACTGAACAAAAACATCTGAAAAGGTGTAACTTGCAAGATAAGAATACACAAAATAGGAGGGGAAAATACAGCCAGTCATGCAAAAAGAAGCAATTAAAAATAGTGGAGCTCCCAGCTAACTCAGATTATTTTTTTTCCCTTTCCCTTTAACACACCCATTGCCCAAAATTTCCCTCCCTCAGACAAGCACCTTCATAATTTCTGGAGTATTTTACATCTCTTTACACACCACCTCTAGGTTTAGCTGTAACCACATTCTGATCTCAAAGCACAGCAAGCCAAATCCACTCCTTTTAACATACTAAGATGAAAGTATTGGGGAAGAGGGTTGGGGATGGAATTGATTTCTGGTAATAAAATGTACTGCTTCTAAAGGAAAATGATTTTATTTTAAAGTGATGTAAACCTCCCCTCACAGCACATATTGGGTACTGCATCTTCCAGCAGTGTGATACAACAGACAACCCTAATTTCTTTTAAAGACATTCAAGGGATATCATTACAGAACAAGTAATTTCACCATGATCTTTATTTTGTAAGGAATTATTTAATGTCCACCTAAAAGAGTGAATGATACTGGATGACCTGGAAGACTTGCTCTAAGGCAAGCAAAATCAATTTCAAAGGCCAAGGTGACTGTGCTGTTTTTATGCAAGGCTGACCATACAACCATAACCTTTCCTCAGGTCTTTTAATTGCAACTAACATTACTAAATGTATCACCATTCAGTTCTCCTCCTTTTTTACATGATACTATTTTATACTTAATACCCTGTTAAGAGTCAGATGAGAGGAATATATACAATTTAATAAAAAATGAGTTCTCAAATCTCAATTCCTTGCATCAGGCTTTGTGGCTCTTTTAATACAAAACAAGATTACACACACACAGTTGACTTCTAAATACAATCTTGTAAACTGAATCTCCTTCATATTCAAGAAGCATCCTTTTTCTTGTAAGCAATGTAACTGCTACATTCACCTGCTTTTCAGTTGTATTTCAGAATTCTCCCTCTTTCTGAATTTAAATTCACCACATCCAACAAAAACAGGAAAAGTTTTCGCCATCCTCCTTGTCAGTGAGCTACATTTGTCCATAAAATTTGGAGTGATACAAACCCAGGAAGAGTTCCACACCAGCAAGTGTCAAAACAGAAAACAAAGAACACTATCAAAAAGCACATCAATTCTTACAGTCCTTGTAGGCCTGAACATTTAAAATCATCACAGAAGCGACACAGGATTTATTTTGCATCAGTTCCTGTGCAGCTGCATCATTTTACATAAGCCAGGCTCTATTTCACATAAGAAGCTCTGCTTCTTGTTCAGCCATATGAAATCCCTTTATTCAAATACACTTCACACCAAGCCAGGTAAGTCTCCAAAAGAGAGTTCAAAATCCTTTTAACAATTCACTGAAAGCCAAAAGCTCTTTTCCCATTGACACCTCATGCTGAAGAGGAGCAGCAGCAGTTCTGCAGGCTGGGGGGTTATTGGAAAGGAGCCCACTTTGGTACAAAGTTGTCACATGGAAACCATGTAAACTCTGAACTGTAGGAACAGGAAAATAGTACCTGAAAACTCTGAACTGGGAGAATGAACCCAGCTCTTCCTCTATGTGAGAAATCTAACCGTGGTAGCAGGGGCACAACTTCAGAGCAACAAACCTGTACCAGCCATTTCTACAGTGCAGAAACTTTGCTTCTTTCTACTTCATGGCCTTACCCACCACATTTTCCAAGCAGAGATGAGCATAATTGGGTCTCGGTACTTTGAGATTCGTTCCCCCAAAACCCACTAACACTGTTCTGCTCTGGAAAAACACCTTTACTCCTAGAAAAGATGACTGACCTCACCTGAAGAGCCACCTGTGGGCTGAGCCAATACAGAGTTACTGCTACAAATAAAGATCTCAAGAATTAAAGGGCTCTCTGCAGAGTTTCTAACAGCTGTTAAGATGGAAACTAACTCTCCCTAACGTCCCTTTGATCTTTCTTTGCAGGTTCTGATAGCCATCACTACACCAGGGATAAAGGACTTCCTAGCATTTGCAGGACAATTGCTAGGAATGCCAGACCCTATAGCTGGAGGGGGCCTTTTGGCACCTGGCTGCAGGTAAGGACAGTCCACAGAGCAGACTCCACAGGATGGCATAAGGGGCAAGAAGCCAGAGGCAGCTGGTGCCACTCCAGTCCTTGGGGGATCACCCTGCTACAAGGCTTCCAGCTTGCCAGTTACTAACACTGCTTGGCTCAGAGGAGAACCCCAAAAGTTAAGGGTTATATTGGAATGTGCACAAATAAAGTTCTAAATCAGTTTCTGTGGCTAAACGTGGCTATTAAGCATCAGAGGAAGAAAAACTTTCTTATCCACTTGGTATCTCCCCAGCTTCCCATTCAGCTCATAAATGCTAATTTTGGTGTCTGTTCTGGAAGTTGAGCTTGCTGATAACATTTCTTCATGTTTCTGATAATCTGAAGCCTTGAACTCATTCAACACTCTTGACCTTAAAACTTAAATAAAAACTGAATTTAATATGAACTAAATTTTATCAAACAGCTTCTTGGAAAAACAATATTTTATGTTTTTTTCCTTAACCACCTAGCAAGCCAGGGAAACTTCAGGGGGTTTTATTGCTGTTGCAGGCTGTCCCAGAGTGTGACATTACCTTATTCAGCAGGGAAAGTACCTAACAGAAAATTGTGACATTGTAAGTGTTCTGAAGTGCTGTACTTCCAATGAATTTTTACTTAATTAGTGAAGCTAAAAACAGATTAAGAGAAAAATAGACACAAGGGTGCCTTCCCTCCCTGTCTTTAAGAACAAAGAATATTTTCCCTCTTTTCAAATTCAGAGAAATTAAAGAACTGAACAGGTTCGTGGAAATTACGTTACTCTCAACATCACAAATTTCAAGTATTTTTACTAAGCATGAATGGCCACTGAAATGCACCAAGAGGACATGCAGCTTGTGGTTCTGACCATCAGCAAACTACCAGAAACTGATCTGCTCCTTCCCCATGAAAGACTAAAACCACCAAGCAGCTGACAGGGTTTTTGGGAGGGTGGGTTTGAAAAGACAACACAAGCAAACAGGGATTTTGCTGCTGGCAAAACCAGCTGCTTTAAATCTGAGAAACTTTCATCAAACCCTAATTTTCCTGAAGTGTATGATTGGATGCAGAATGGAGTGGGACATGAAAGGGTCAGGGATTAAAATAAGACATCTGACCTAAGTTATTCTCATTTCTGCCTACTCAGAACTGAGCATGGACCGTTTTGTACTTACAACTAAGAGTCTTTTGTGCTTAGGAAAATTCCCAGTGATGGCTTGTTAATTACATCTACCAATAACAGGGAAGAGAAGTCTATAAATAGCAGTCCTGGAAGCTGCATAAGCAGAGCACCCATTTTAAGATTTGAATACATTAACTAATATCAAAATACACCCTCTAAAGCTAAGAGTTTACACAGCTGCTGCTATTTGGAGAACTTTTCATATTTAGAGAATTGCTTCAAAAATAGAGCTTAAAAGTGTCTTTTACCTCAAAAAAACCCAAACAAATCCAACTAAAATGAATCAAAGGGAATCTACTGAAAAGAAGAAAAAAAAAAATTCAACACAAAATGATGTGCAAAACCATTTCCATGAGAGTCTGAGATTTTGCATAAAGGGCTGAGGAATTTGCCAGAAACTGGTTAACAAAAAGATCTTTGGTTTAAAGTGAGTTTTAGGGGGAAAACACCATAGGTGGAGAATGTAATGCAAACTTCAAAACAACAGATCAAACCAGTGCATTTTAATAAGCAAGTTTATTAGAGAGTACTGGCCATATTCAGTAAAATAGTCTTTGTGTTTTTCTAAAAACATGCTGGATCCTGCAGCCACTTCTGAGGCTGAGGGAGCTGGGTCTGTTGGGCTTGGAGAAAAGGAGACTGAGGGGTGACCTCATCAATGTTTATAAATACGTAAAGGGTGAGTGTCAGGAAGATGGAGCCAGGCTTTGTTCAGTGATGTCCAATGACAGGACAAGGGGCAGTGGGTGCAAACTGGAGCACAGGAGGTTCCATGTGAATCTCAGGAAGAACTTCTTTCCTGTGAGAGTGACAGAGCCCTGGGCCAGGCTGCCCAGGGAGGCTGTGGAGTCTCCTTCTCTGGAGACATTCCAACCCCCCTGGCCACGTTCCTGTGTGATGTGCTCTGGGTGCCCCTGCTCTGGCAGGGGGGTTGGGCTGGGTGAGCTTTCCAGGTCCCTTCCAACCCCTGGGATTCTGGGATTCTATGATTCTGGAAACTGGCGTCTTCAAGAGGGAGCAAATTGCAGGAATGAGGAGTGCAAAATCACCCAAAGACAACAGTTGGAAAAAAAGCAAAAGGCAAAAAAAAACCCCAGGCCCCAACCCCCCTAACAACCCATTCCCTCAGAAGCCAACAGCAAGTCCCTGCACACCACTGCTGTTTCCTCTGGCCAGAACTCCACCTTTCCTTCCTAGGCGTGGTGCTGATTAGGAGGAGGTGGCTGATTTACTCAGCAAGTACTGAATGTGTAAATGCAGGGGAAGTTCATCTAACTTCCTGACACTTGTGCAGAT